TGAATGAATGAATAAATGAATGAATGAATGGTGCAATAAATGAATGAATGAATGAATGAATGAATAAATGAATAAATGAATGAATGAATGAATGAATGGTGCAATAAATGAATGAATGAATGAATGAATAAATGAATAAATGAATGAATGAATGAATGAATGAATGAATGAATGAATGAATGAATGAATGAATGAATGAATGAATGAATGAATGAATGAATGAATGAATGAATGGTGCAATAAATGAATGAATGAATGAATGAATGAATAAATGAATAAATGAATAAATGAATAAATGAATAAATGAATGAATGAATGAATGAATGAATGAATGAATGAATGAATGAATAAATGAATAAATGAATGAATGAATGAATGAATGAATGAATGAATGAATGAATGAATGAATGAATGAATGAATGAATGAATGAATGAAGGAAGGAAGGAAACAAACAATCAATCAACTGGTATTCAATTCATCAAATTGTCAACCAGCCAATCAAACAGCCTTATATTAAATCACAAAACATAGTTTAAATTTACATTCAACAAACCAGATATCCTTAAACTTAAATCACATTGAACTAAATACTAACAACATCAATCTTAATAATAATAATAATAATAATAATAACAAACCATGAAAATAATAATAATAAAATAATAAAAGTAACCAATCAGTTGCCTCTATCCATGAAGCAAACCTCGACCGGATCTTATAAGGAAATGAACTGGTGATGTATAACTCGTTCACTGCCTCTTTCACAATTGGATTTTGCTGGCATAGACCAGTAAGTTTTTGCCACTGGGACATTTTTATTAAAACTTAACTGTCTACCTTTTAATTTATGTGTAGCTAGATTTTCTATGGACAGTCTGATTTAGTCTTTGTATGAATGGTTTTAGGTACAACTGCTGTTCAACCAGAGGTTTTGCCTGTATTTCTAATCAGTGTAATTTAGGCAATTCTGACAATATCTGAATAATTTATAAAGATTAATTTTTAATGTATAAATGAAATACAATCTTTACAATTTTAGTATTTCTCAGAAGCACACACACACACACACAAAAGCATGTGAATTTGTAAATTATTATATATAAATAATAATAATATATATAAATTATTATATAGCTATAGTTAGTTATTAGTAGGAATCTGTTTGATTTCGAACATTGTCACTGCTCTAGCAATGCCAGGCTCCTTTGCCATTTTGCCACAATAGTTTTCTGTGACAAGTTGATTGAATGATTTGTTTCATTTAAAAGTTTTATTAACCAAATAAAGCAAAAACAAAAGTTCTCCATGATGGTACAAGATACATACATCATACATGATGATATGAGAGAAAGATGAAACATAATCTAGAAATTTTTATAGAATATCATACTACTATATAAATTATAAAGAAACAATATGTAATTGTAAAAAATTAACAAAATTCAACAAATAAATTAGAAATTAATAAATATTATGACCATTTTAAATTTATTTTTATATTTTAAAATGAATTAAATTTTAATTAAATATCAAATTAATTATTAAACTTTTTAAACTAGTTAATAAAACTTAAAAACAGAGAAAAAACAACCAAAATTCACTTTTCACCTTTTTTCAGTTTTCTAACTTTCACAATTTATTGAAAATTGTCTAATCTATCAATTTAAATCTTAAAATAGCTAAAACAAACTTTAAAATTCAGAAATTTAACTCAAATCCGCAATGTTTACAAAATTAAATGAATTTATTTTTAATTTAGGTCACTGAGGCCTATATATATATATATATATATATATATATATATATATATATATATATATATATATATAAAACAATGATTCTATCTTTGTTAATAAATTAATTATATTGTACTATATAAGTAATGACAAAGATGCTATTAATTACATGTAAGGTTTTGTATGCATGTTTATGTGTGTGCATCTGTGTGTGTGTGTGTGTGTGTGCCTGTGTTTGTATGTTTGTATGTATGAGTATTTATACATTATTGTTTGCATATGTTTATTTATGAAATATACGATGTAATATAATACGTTTATACAATATATACAACAATGATGATGATAAGCTAAAATAAGATGTGTGTATATCGTAGTGGCAATACACTCACCCATTATATATATCCATACCCAAAAATTGTATATTTGAGGACATTGACATTAGTATATTTAAAATTGTCAATTAGTGATATAAAACAAACAAACAGTGCTTTTAATATATATATATATATATATATATATATATATATATATATATATATATATATAATATTTTAAAAACATCTCGTTTTTGATGTAAAATGTTATGTTAATAATGATATTTATAGGATTTAAAATGATGATGACGATAACGACGATGATGAAAACTACATAGTAAATCATGTTTTATTACAAATAACTAATATATACTATTAATATTGGTAGATTTCATTGCAAATTATTCATTAATAAATTAACAGTTTATGCCAATATTTTCAATTTATTAGCGACTTTCCATATATTTTTATTTAAACGTTGCTGTAGCAATAATCGATACAGCTTAACTAACAAAATGCCTAAAAGAGGTACAGCGCATTTTTTAATATTTAATTTATTAATTTTAGGAAAATTGACATTTAATTTCAATAATACGCCTTTATCTTAAATTTTTATCACAATGAAAACTTGTATTTTTAACCTTAAATCACAAAATTTAAAGAAATGTGAAAAATTATTTATTATTACTTCCCAATTCAGGTGCTCCAGGTGTTCAGCACTCACCTAAACCTGATTTCTGCCGAATTACGTCCATTTTTTTAGTCGTCGTCTTCTTTCTCCATTTAAATTTTCAATATCTAGTTGAACCAAGTTGTCAATTTCATCCTATTTTTTAATTTTTATATTTTTAAACAATTTTCAATCTTTTTTTAAAAGTTCACTCTTCTTATAATCTTGCCTTAATCTTTGATGATTTCTTACTATGTGTAGTGAATGAATGATGTATGTGAATGAATGAAGAAATGGATGAAAGAATGGATGAACGAATGAATGAATGAGTGTATGACTGAATATGTTTGATCAAATTCTTTCAATGTAATACATCATTAATTAATTAATTTAGCTGTATTTTTAATTTTTATGCAGCGATTTTTTGTTATTTTTTATAAAAAAATAGGTAATGAAAATATTGCAAGTGGCATACCGTTAGAATGCAAGTCAATCATTGATGTTCAATTTCCTAATACATCAGTTAAGTTTTTTTGTCTTTTGTAAATTTCATTCATTCATTCATTCATTCATTCATTCATTCATTCATTCATTCATTCATTCATTCATGTATTTATCTATTTATTACCCATTCATTCATTGAATCATTCATTTGTTCATTCACCGAATCATACATTCACTTATTCATTCATTTTATTTTTTTAGGATGAAATTTTGATAAACAATCTCCTTCAAGTATGGTCCCAAAAGTCATCCACTGATAATGTTCTTCTCTCTGTCAACAGAAATGAAATAGGTAATTTTTATTTTTATCATTATTCTTAATATTATTTATTATTATTATTATATATTGTTATTTTTAATCCAATAATATTTCTGATATGTGTGTGTGTGTGTTTGTGTGTGTGTGTGTGTGTGTGTGTGTGTGTGTGTGTGTGTGTGTGTGTGTGTGTGTGTGTGTGTGTGTGTGTCTGATCAATCAGGAATGTGTAAAAAAAAATAAACGTATAAATGATTGAGTGAATGAGCTATTGAATGAATGAAGGAATTAATGGATGATTCAGTCATTTAACTTGACCGTCAACTTCACAGTCAAACATCTTCAGCTTATTATTTCTTATTTTTTATTATTTGCTTGGCTTATT